TTTTCCAGGGAATAATTTTCCATAATCAAAACCGTGATTTCTAGCAATATGCTAGATTGCATTTGCATGCTGTTTGGGAAAGATATAACGCAACATTTATTTCCAAATTACTTCAGTGATATTGACGCGCAACCTCGAAATAATTATGCGGAACTTATACTTACTTCACGAAACTGATAAATATCTTCGCTGGAGCAAACTTATTGTTTCTCTTTCAAGACTTTTTATTGCCCCGTTGTTTCTCCGGCTCTGTGCTAAGTGATTTCAGTTCGTGGCAAGTCGCAAGCATCAGCAAACATTATCATGCTTTGTAGCTTGGCTTTCAACTGCGACGGAAGTAGTTGTTAGCGACCACTTGAAGGCTCTTTTTTCGCCAATTTAATTTGTGTGCCCAATTGTCCTCCATATATTTTACTAAGCACTAAAACATGTTTTCAATTTCAACCGTGTTTCAACGCACTGGTTTGCGTCAAGACGCGCGTTCTGGAAACTACCGAAAACATACCTGAAAGAAGCGAAACTTAAATATGACATGTATGGTCTTCCTAGTAACAAAATTACATCTAAACAACTCAAAGTGGCTTTGACAATTGACTACCGACATGCATGTATTCAAATAAGAAATATTAAGAGGGGGCATTCAACAACATTAAAAATCGGACAATAAGCGTCGTATTAAACGCGAAATCATCTGCCATTTTTGCGGAACCGAGGTGCATGCAATTACCACAGCATGCATATCATCGTTTATTGAAATGATCTACTTCAGTAATCTGGAAACATGTGGAAAAAAATTTTCACGCAACAAAAGGAAAGTGATCCTTGAACATGTTGCGAGTTGCGGAAAAGACTGCTTCAAATATTTGAGAAGTACGCATGTGGAAAAGTTCGCATCAAACATTAAAAATCGACAAAAGGAAAAAAATCATCGGAAACTGATCATTGTTTAATTATTTTCTCTATTCAAATTTCCTCATTTTATTTTAGATGCTAACGCTATCTCGCTATCAAATCTCACTTGGCAATATTGCCATCCTATATTAACAGCCTGCACAGGTTTTGCCGCTGGTCGGATGCGGTTCGGTTGCAGTCGACCAATAGAAACCGCAGACGACCACAAGGAAAAATCAGCACTTAAAAATACAGTCGGTTGCATTCGCTTCTGAACGGAATGCCACGCAAAAAACTACTCAAAACAACACTTGTAACCTAAAATCTCTGAAGTCTACGAAATTTAGGTCTGTAAGATATAGCCGAGGGCCTGGAAAGATTGTTGTTTGTCATGCATGACATGTACAGTACATCCACTGCCGAGAAATAACGTAACAAAAAGCGCGGTTGAACCGAGGTCAGACCGAGGTCGAACTGCGGTTAGACCGAGGTTGAATCGTTGAATCACCGAATCACAGTTGCCAAATGCAGAATGCTCGTTGAATCGCCAAAATGAATGCAAAACAAAATAATATACTATAAATATCACTTACGATGAATCCTGAAGTTGACAATGACTATTCGGCTCGGGAATGCATGCTATCATTTTAAGCCATGTGCGACGAAGTTTTCTTTATAAGTTCACTTGCTCGTGTGTATGGCGAACACGCGCTTTCCTTGCCATAAAACTTGGCAAGGAAAACCTGCCGTCTTTATGGTATATGGAGCTTTATATATTCGACCATAATCGAAGATCTTCGCTCATGTAGTTTAGACGGGAGACTTCCAGCATTCTTCGGTGCGTTAATCACCGACTCACCTCCTTGCAAGTATGTTTATTATTGCATCAGAAAACGTCCTTCAGAGTGGGAGAATTTAAAATTGACTGAGCGTCGAAACGGTTAGCTTGAAATCTAAAGTCTGGAAATATGAAAACGAAAACGTAACGTTTCAAACAATACCAATATTATAATGAGCCTTTTTAATATTGCTAAATTATCATCAAATGAGTTATTTTTATAGACGGGAAAAATCCCGTCGATCCTTTTACGGCCATATTGCTATCGTTCAGAGGTTTTGCCTTTTTATGGGCTGGTGTCCCGGCATCAGTTTTCTTGCCACTCCCTCTAAAACACATGAAGGCATTTCGCCTATAATTATATACATGCATGCAGGGCAATGCTTATATATAGATAAGAAAAAAATTAAATCATTAGTATTTGCTTTGAAGGTATAGAAATTTTTCTAAAATTATTGTCGCATGTGATTCTTGAAATAGGTAAATACATTTCTGGTTTCATGGCCGATTGTTACCGTTATCTATCATTTAAAGACGATGATCGCCAAATTAATTACGTCGTGGAAGTCGTCTGTTAATTTCGTATTTCTAGTCCTCGTGCTTGTTACTACTGCTCAATTTTGTGTCACTCTCTACCGTTGTAAGAGGAAGGAGGGCTTTAAAGGTCCCCTTGGTAAGTTGCTGCATTTTGTTTCCATGCAGACTGGCCGAGCTGACTTTTTTAATTCCTATAGATGAACAAAAAAATTCAAAACAGATATCACATTGAGGTGTTGGAATGTGTTATTAATTAGTATCCTAATACGCTTAGAATCTAAGTCTTGGTTCAATGGATGTCATTTTCCACGGGATCAATTTTCCTGCCACCCCCTCTGAAACACAGTAAAACATTTAGGCCATACAGCGTAATAAATTGATAGTATACGAAAAAACTTAATTTTTTTATGAACATGATTTAGCAATTTTCTTAGCTCGCGTCCAAGGTTACATAAACAAGATTAATTCTAATTTTTTAGCCAATTATATGTTTTGAACTAGTGCGATAAATTATATTTTCAAGGAAGAGTCGAGGACAATATAATACTTCCTTGAAGGTAAAAATTTTTCATATTGTTTTTCGCAACTCACAAGCATGCATATCATATACCCCCCCCCCAATGAAGCTTCTAGCAACAGCCCTGGCTGGACGAGCTGACATTTGTAATTCTTATCGTTTAAGAAAATACAAAACTGTCAAAGACCACATTGCGGTGCTGGAATGTGTTGTGAATTCCATATTTTCCGATTAGATTATATGATTCCGCTTAGAATCTCAGTTTTCCTGCCACTACTCCCTTTAAAACAAATTTCGCCCACATGCAGCATATTAATAGATAAGAAGAAAATAATTAAATTAATCACCTATATTAATGCACATGCTTCAGTATCTTTCTGGGCTGGAATCCAAGGTTGCATACTACAAGATTAATTAATATTCGATTTTTTAACCAATTACGTTCTGAACGAAAAAACTCGTGCGATTATACATTATATACTAGTACTTGCTTTGATGGTATATAGGTAAATTTTATAATGATATTCACAATGCAAGCGTGCATATATAGATAATTATATTAAGTCATAAACATGCAGTCTGGCTGATTATATCTGCCCAGTTTAACATAAATTCATGGATTGAAATAAACGTCGGGTACATTTAGAGTAATCATGCATTTAAAGACGAAAGATCACCAAAATAATTATGTCGTGCATGTTTTCTGTTCATTTAGTAATGCTTGGACTCGTGCTTGTTGCTACTGATAAACGCCCCCCTCGTAAGTTGCTGCATTTCGTTTCCATGCGACCGAACTGAGATTTGTAATTCCTATAGTTGAAAAAATTACGAACCACATTGCAGTGTTGTAATATGTTATGAATTCAGTATAATATGGTAATACGCCATAGAATTTAAATTTTAAAGGGTCTTAATTTCGAGTGGAGTTACATACACTTCAAATTCAAGACAGAAACAGTTAATGGAAAATGAGTCAACTGACTAACTCTTAATATATATAGTTGGAAAAATACAAAACAATCAGAGACCAAATTCAGGAGCCAGTATGTGTTATGAATTAGTCCAGCATAAATTATGTTCGTCAATCATTTTCTATATGATCAGTTTTCCTGCCATTCCCTCTAAAACACATGAAAACATTTTGCCTATACATGCATCAATGCATGTCTAGATCACTGGTAAACCCTTTTGTTAAAAGAAGTTTTTATTTTCTATTTATGCGAGGTACAGTAGTAGGATCTTGACAGTGGTTTACAAATGTTCATTAATGTTGTGTTCTTGGTCTTCTAGTCCACTGAAGGTTCGGGTGTTGTGCACGCCCTTTTATATAGTAATAGTAGAGGGAAACTTTCACACGTCATCAACCAGAGTGGGCTGATCCTTATTCAACAAATCAGCTTTGTAGGTTAGAAATGTGGCTCAGCTCTCATATCTTGTTTGTCTAAGGTGTTGTCGCACTAGTCGAGTTGGTCTTCTGCTTAATCGATCAATGCTTAAAAATGTTCACAACTTAAAATATTTATCATCAACAGCTAGTAAAATTTACAAACAATACCTCTGTCAACAATATTTTTCAACTTAAACTATTTTCACTCTTATTTTATCGAATTGAACTTTTGATGACGTAATCTTTTACATGCTCGACCGCGCAACATTTTAAACACAATTGATTGACATAAGAACTTGAATGCCCTACAGCACGAACATTTTTTTTAAAGAATGCGACGATTATGATAAGTGACGACTTAAGACTGTTTATCCAGGTATTAGTTCTGACAGGATAATAAATATTTTCACCCTATTACTTATTTAATCCCACGACATGTCATATGAAAGGGAGAAGCGTTTTAATGTTTTCTAATGGCCGAAAATTATATTTACTCAGGCGTCTTGTGGCAAAAATCATTCACTCATCCCTGTCATGCAATTAATATTCCTATTTTTACTGCTATTTTTATATGCGTTTCTCTAAACACGATAAAGCCTTGCCTAACAATTCGAAGGTATAGATGTTTTTATAATTATTTTCGTATGTGATTCTTAAAATAGATTAATATATCTCAGTTTTTATAGCCAATCATATCCGCCCGATTTTACATAAATTCGCTGATTAAAGTAAAAGTCAAGATCATTTTGAGGAAGCTTTTAAAGAAGAAGGAAGGTTATAAAAAAAAAATGTCTTCCCTGTCGTCTATTAAGTTGAAGGTTATAAAAAAAATGTCTTCCCTGTCGTCTATTAAGTTCGCTTTGCTTGGCCTCGTGCTTGTTACCACTGGTCAACTTGGCGTCTCTACCGTTGTAACAGAAAGGAGGACTTTAAACGTCCCCTTGGTAAGTTGTTCTATGTCGCTCCCGTGTATATGTTTCAACTTAGATTTGGGTTTTATCAAATATGGTGAACGTGTACAAATCCCGCCCGATAAGTCATGAAATATTTTGGAACCTAAATACTTTCTTTAAAGAAAAAAAATAGGATAGAAAGAGTTGTCGCATGCCTTTAACACAGTTCCTTCTGAGAAAGAGATTCGTTTTTTTTCCGCATAGAATGGGGGTATAACGCTAAATTTTGAGGAGGGTATGCGTGATTTCATTGTTAATGGAAAAGGCGTTGGTATTCAAGGACAGGTATAGCGAGTTTTACGCCGTAAATGATTTCATTAACTGATAAGAAATGTTTATATAGTGTTATATATTGTTTCATAGTGTAAGCAAAGTTAACTAAATTCGAAATTAAATGTCGGATTGCTAATCATAGTTTGTTAATCACCCCAATAAAAGCCTAACATTAATTTTAGACTTTGATCGCTTTCCAAGCTACTCTTACAAGTAGTAATATCGGACCTAATTACACCGACGGCGCAATTAAATTCATCGACGTGGCTTTAAACATTGGAAACGGCTACAATCCAAGCACCGGAAAATTTACTGCTCCCACTGCAGGTCTTTACCAGTTTACTGCAACGTACCTTCAACGTAATGGATACAACTCTCGCGTTAGGCTAATGAGGAATAATAATATGATCAGTAAAATGCATTCAACATTCTGGGTTGAGTTGCGTAACGGTAGTACCTATGCCATTTATGGCTGGAGTGCAGGATACACCGAATTCAGTGGATTTCTTTTGTCAGCCAGTCTCTAACAAGAATCACCATGACCAGAATTAAGCGCTCACTCATACATGCATGTATGCGTTTCCTGAAGTGCTACATACTATATCGTTATAATTATTATATATACCTAATTATTTTGAACGTTTATATTAACTTTGTATTAAAAAGGAACCAAAGTGCGAATATTAAATATTTCAACAAATTCGATGTACAATTTGTAAGGGAAAATGTACCACCAAATCGTTAGTTAGTTAGTTAGTTAGTTAGTTAGTTAGTTAGTTGGTTGGTTGGTTGGTTGGTTGGTTGGTTGGTTGGTTGGTTGGTTGGTTGGTTGTTTGGTTGGTTGGCTGGCTGGCTGGCTGGTTGGTTGGTTGATTGGTTGGTTTGTTGGTTGGTTAGTTAATTAGTTAGTTAGGTAGTCAGTTAGGTAGTCAGTCCATCTGTTGCATGCGAAGAAAATATGGCTATGGTTTATGCAATCAACAAAATGATCAGTTTCAAATTTTATGCTATGAGATTTCATAGCCCTAGCTGTTTTAATAGCGATTATGTGTCTCATGGAAACATTTCCTCGCTCGGACAGTTGTTTTATCGCTACCTATCAACAAGTATTATAAACGGATTTCAAATTAATGCGCTGAAATTTTCCATGCATGTTTGAAATCTGTAGTTTGTAGTGCCTCGCGCGCGCTGTTTGTAGAATAGAGTCCTTAGCCTGGAAATTTGTATCTCGACTCCTCTTTTATATCCATGTCCTAATGATGTTATTATATAGTTGAGGTTTAAATTTTTATCCACTAAAATGAATACACTATAGCACGACGGAGGTTCTCATGCCACAAAATCATATAGGCCTATATAAGTATAAGCCAGGGTATAAGTATTGTTCTTGCGCTAGGTGTGCGCAATTTAAGTTTGTAAGGCATCATTTTATTTCAACCGCAGCGCAGCCCATAGAAAATTAAATTTAAACCAAATTTTAAAATATTCGTAAGGTAATGCCCTTAGCCTTAGGTTTGACCGCGGCTAGAGACTACAGGTACTGCTGTATCCGAACGTAATGTGTGCACTAATGAATATCCCCTTGAATATCTGAGTTTACATTTTATCAAATATCTTATTGCTGCCGAGCGTCAGCGAGGCAGCACACTATTCTTGACATTCTGAGGTTTCTCCAGAGTCCAGTCGACCCAGGCTTTTGCGCCGATTTATGTATTGTCAAATTTGGATTTGTGTCTGTCCGGAAAGATGTTTGTCGTAATTCCGGGGGCATATATTAGGCTTCAAGTATGTTGGGAGATTTAGGGGGGATTCGACTTCGAATAATCTTTATTGCGTATGCAAATTCGACATGCTTGAGTCTGAATGCAAACCACAAAGACATTGTACGAAAAAATTTCTGAAAATATAAAGGTAAGTATGGCTTCATTTCTTTCTGCTGATATCCATCAAGGCGATGAACTTTTTAGTAATCATTCTAGAGGCAAGCAATGTGCTTTTATGAGTTTATCGGCGCTTCTTACAGCCCGAAATTTCCCTTATCGTCGTGGTCAAGAATTACATTTAATGTCTTATTACAAGGAGACAAAATGTACCTAAAAGCGCTGAATAGTGGCTTTATAATGTTAGAATCGGATGAAGATTTTTTGGATCTTTACCGATCTTTGGGAAATTTACCGATTTTTGTGAATGTTTCATATTGCATGAATATGCAAACGACTTTTCGTACGATTTATGTTGATCAAATCACACCATATCGCCTGGCCATGTACAGGAAAAAACTACACCACCTGTGACGGTGGTAAACATTGAAGCACAAAATATTGTTGACCCACCCATTGTGGTGGAGCCCGTTGAGGCACAAAATGAAAACAAAATTTGTTTCATAACTAATAATATAACTGGAAATGATTCTCGACTGTGATTGGTCGATTTCAGTGCAATTAATCTCAAACAGCAGTGCAAAAATCTGTAATAACAGTGCAAAAATCTGTAACAACAGTGCAAAAATCTGTAACAACAGTGCAAAAATCTGTAACAAACGTATCTGATTGGTTGGAATTAAGAAAATAGCCAATCAAATTTCACCAAAAATTTCCTCCAAAATACAATTTTTTGTGTTTTTTAAAAACAAACATGGCGGGCGCCAGCAATGAGCAAAGATTTCCAAACGTTGAGACAAGTACAATACAGGAGTTACAAAATAATGCCAAAAATAAAAACACAACAAGCAGCACTAATTTTTGGCTAAGCGTTTTTAAGACATGGGCAAAAACAAAGAGGATTTTTGGAAGAAATTGAGTTGTACGAAGTCAACGCCTTGGACATAGTACTTCAACAATTTTACGCCGAAGTGAGAAATAAAGACGGGCAAGACTACGAGCCAGATGTCTTCGAGTTATGGTTGCATCTCTTGACCGCTATTTAAAAGAACACGGATACAAACATTCAATAATTCGGGACAGAGAATTTTTTGCATCAAAGCAGGTCCTTGAGGATAAAGCGAGACGACTTCGTCAAGAAGGAAAAGGAAAGCGTCCAAACAAAGCGAGAAGCTTGTCCGAAGAAGAGGAAGAGGTACTGTGGAGAGTTGACGAACTTGGCCGGAAAACTCCAGAAAGCCTAATAAGCACAATATGGTGGATACTCACCCAATACTTTGGTTTACGTGGTCGCCAGGAACACCACAGTATGAAAGTCGAAGACTTTGCTTTTGGCAAAGATGACGAAGGTCGTGAATACATTGAATTCACCGAAGGGCTGACAAAAACAAGAGGTGGTGGTTTATCCAAAAAGGCTCGGGATTTCACACCAAAAATGTTTGCTGCAGGAGGAGAAAGATGTCCAGTTTCGCTTTTCAAGGAGTACTTGTCACGACGACCAGTGCAAATGAAAGAAATGGGTCCCTTTTACCTCTCCATCAACTACAAAGCCGAAGCCCAAGACGAGGTTTGGTACAAAGCACAACCAATGGGAATAAACCGAATCAACGAAATGATGAAGAAAATCGTTTCAGGAACACAATTAGAAGCCAGTTGCAAGAAATTGACAAACCACAGCGCTCGAAAGACTTTGGTGAACAAGTTGAAAAAAGTAACGTCGAGCGATCGTCCATCGTTAAAGTTACTGGCCATCGGAACCTACAATCCCTTGACGACTACGATGAAGGGGACGAAAGTGAGCAAAGAGATCTTTCCACAAGAATATCCCGTCGAAATAACATCGCGAGCATCATGCCTCAATCAGCAGCTTCGTCTTGGTATAAGGTATATAAGGTAGGGTATATAAGGTGGCTATAAGGTATCGTTTTTGACTCGAAGACATAAATCCATATCTCCACCCAATCTTCTCGTCCTGTTCTTTAAATGGACTGAATTCGGAGTAAGAAATGAAAAAAAACGATAAGCCTACTGTCCAGAAATAACCTGACAAAAACCGCATGCAGTTAACTAGGCCATGCAAACTTCGGTTGAACCGAGGTAAGACGGAGGTCGAACCGCGGTGAGACGGAGGTTGAACCTCTGTTGAAACTCCATCTCACTGACCCTTACAGATATTTCTTAAGATTTTTTGGATTTGATTATTGTTTTGTTGTTCTTCGCTGTTCATAACATTCCGATCGGAAACGAATGGCAAACGCGATCGTATTTTTTTCCCTTGCGATCATCTGGGGTTTTTTTGGGGTTATTTCTGCACAGTATATACTTTCTGTGAATTTGTCAAATTAGTGAATAAGCCGCAAAAGACGAATATTTTAGAAACGAATAAATTATTTTAAATTATATAGTGCAAATAAAAGTGGAATAAATTTCACTTATTTAAAGATGTCTTATGTTGTAATTATATTGTATTTATTTTATGTTATATTTATTTTGTTATATTTTTACATATTTCGACAAGGTGCCCGCTATAGACATTAACCTCGCGTTGCTTGTGCTGACCGTTGAGGGCTATTTGGTTAATATTAGTTCCTTGGTCACAGATTAATAGTATAATAAAGGTTTCTAACATGCCAACAGCAGTTGCCCGGCGATGAGTTACGATAGCAACAGAATAGACCATTTCGAAATCGCTCGGCATTTTTTGGTGCAGGATTACTGCGCTCGGCGTGTGTATTTGTGTGTAACGTGAGCGTGAAGAAAAGAATAGCACATTGCAAACCACATTATTTAACAAATTGGCAGTTTTCACACTAGAGATGTACACACTGGTTATTCATCTTCAGCATAAATATTCACAACAGGCGCATACGTCCAAATGATTAATATTCAGTTTTTCGTCATATAGAGACGCGTAACCAACGGTAATCCTCCAGACGGATAATGTGTTTGTTCTCCGCCTTTATACTGGAGACGAATAACCATACAAAATATATTACGTCCAGACGCGTCATGCGTCTCTAGTGTGAAAACAGGCAAAAAACAATGCACAGTGCAGCTGCCCGCATGCAGGCAGGGGATATTGATTGTATTAGGAGGCAACCGCGAGCTATGCCCGCATAGCGATGCAACGCGTGGTAATTAATGGTTTCATTCTATCCCTACACTATTTCGAGAGCTCCGTTCACTTCGGACGGTCATTTCGCTGTCTGTAACATTGTTGATTGGTAACGATGCGTTGTCAAAATATTCTTCACTATCACTGAATTCTTCCCATGGGTTTTCTGCAACAAAATAGAGGATGAACAAAACAACAAACCCGCATTGCAGCGGTAATGTGAATGACACCTTTCGAAATGCTGATTCAACCTCGTCCAAATACATTCTTAAAAATATTGGAACAAATACAATGAGGGTAAGTGTAAACCAGAGTCCTAGTTTAAGGTTATTCATCTTTGCTGTTCCTTTCCATCTCTTTGCAGCCTGTAGCATTATGTGGGAAATGACCAGGAAGCCAAAATTTAACATCTTCAATAGAAGGTATGCAGCAGCTGCGGCAATAAAAGCTCTCTCGCCGTCAAAAATCGTGATACGGTAACAAGTCACGAAAATATCACTAGATATTGATGAACAGTTGATAGGCGATTCGT